CCTAGCACAGCAGTGCTGCTCTGACGGTCAGGCTGGCATCAATAGGTTTTATGGGCGTGTGTCCAGGGGGTTGAGCCACTATGAGGTCCTGGAAGCAGTTATGACAAAATCTAAACAGCCATTTTGACTCGTGATGGTAACTTAAGCATCTCTCTGCACTTCCACCTTAAAATGGATTGAGGAGAAAGTCTTCCATAAACTGGAGAAGAGGGGGGTCTCTATGACCCCTCCAATAAACAATTTGGAGAGAAACAACCAGAGCGCTGGAAGTTAGAGATGCCCACCGCTATGGTGGTATAATGCTATTTTTACTGTGTTGGTTAGAATAATGATGTTAGTGAAGTATTAATGTACTAAAGTACTGATGAATTAAAGTATAAACCATTATAATCTCTATTGAAAACATGCTCCAAACCACAGCTGCATAGCTCTGTCAGTAAAGCCGCTGTCTTTTAAGAGGCCTGTGGTTTTCTTCTTATTTTGACCTGATGTGCACTTGACATTTCCTGTGTAGTCATCCTGCAGGCCTCGTGATGTGATACTACATTTGAACACCAGCTTGATGTTAGGACACAGTGTAATTCTGTGTTACGGCCAATCTTAATCCTGATGCTCATCATCTCTTTCTTTATTTTTTCACTCTAATCTCTGCTCAGTAACAGTTACATTATCTTTCACTATCTTGCTCAAGCTTTCAGGTTTTTAGCAGTGAGCTAGCTTTGATGATGTCATTTCCTGTGTATCCTCAGTACAGAACTAGCCTCATCTTAATTTAGAATCAGGAAGAAGCATTGAGTCAAACAGGCCTCAGCACAGCTCACAACAGACACACATAAATCAGTTCAGCATGATGGTGTAAATGTTTAACAGATAAATATGAAGCTATTAAACCTTTAATATTCTTGCACTTGCAGGTTTCCTCAGATTCAGACTCAGATTAAACCAAATCCTAGACTAAAAAGAATAAATAATATTCACCATTAGTACTGCAATTTAGTCTGAGACTAGGCTTAATCCACATCTGAGAAACCAGCCTTTAATAACGTGATGATGTCATAGTTGGTTTGTCATTTTCTGCTGGTCTGTACTGCCATCTAGAGGAATGTAGCTGTAATTACATGCACATTGTCCTATAAGGCCCATCACTGACTGACTGATATCTGGAGTTCTGTATCAGCTCACCTGACAGTTCATCCATCTTTCTCTTCTGCTCACTATATTTCAGTTATTTATTAACAAAACTGCTGCTGTTTCATTAATAAATGTATTAAATGTTTCATTAGGTAACCCTGGTTAAGGTTTACATGGGAAATGTAGATTAGCGAAAGAAGTTTGGAGGGAAATAATAAGACGGACATCAGTGAACTCATGTAGAGGCTTTACTGTAAATATCAAACTTACAATGAAAGAAAATGAAAGCAAAACACATACAAAACGAATCAGCATTGTTATAATCTTAATATTACAGGAATTGCGGGAAATGATTAACAGAACTTAAAGAGTTTAAAAGCCTGTCATTAATATTTATTAATAAAAGATTAAAATCTCCTTAAAACAATAATAAAATAAGTGCTATTTACAGAACTTGCTATAAGTTTTCCTGAATACAAAGCTTTGACTCTTAAACTGTTCACAGAGCTGCACTATAATACTTTAAGCAGTTAAACACTGAGCCACAGGTAATATCTCTCTCTCTCTCTCTCTCTCTCTGTCTCTCTCTCTCACTCTTTCCCTATCTCTCTCCCCTTCATTGGGCGGATGGTGTTCAGTCTGAGTGGTTTCCATGGTGATAGTTAATCAGCGTTTGTTGTTCACAGTCTGAAAGAAAACAAAGACACAAAACTAAAATCAACCAGTATCTGAGTACAGATCATCAGAAGGACTGGAACGAACAGTCTGTGTGAGGGAAAGAGAGAATGAAGCAGAGGAGGAGAAATGAAGAAATGTGGACTTTGTAGGAATTCTTTATAAATCTGAACGTCTGACTGAACTGAGTTTCTGAAGAGACACTTACTGTGAGTGTGTTGTACACATCATCAGAGGACCTGGACACGGGGTCAAGAGCTGTGTACGTGTCGTCCTCAGCATTAGGGTCAACGTTCTGGACAGAGGAGAGTTAGAGAACATAAGCAGTTTGAGTTCTCACTGATAAACATCAAGAACATTTACACTACAGAGCAAAAGACTGGAAGCAACCAGGCAACCATAAATAAACTCTTTTATAATGTTTTTTTTTCTCTTGGTTTCTGTAATATAGCATCATTTTAATCATATAAATAACTCACAGTGAGATCCAGCCAGGCTAAAGTACAGCCTCCACATGGTGGAGGTAGTTTTAACATACTGTCTCAACTAAACCTACCAAAGTAAACATTGAGAGAAGCTCATATCCCCCCATATCAATCCAAAATAGCCATCCCACCCAGAAAATACTCGTTGAAAAGACAACTTTGCCAGACTTAAAAATGATGGTTCTTCAAGTGTTCTTTAGCAAGGAAAATGGGTCGATGTAGAACCATGAACACTGTTTGCATCGTGAAGGTGTTCTTCAGATTGATGGAGAATGTGTTGTAAATGGTTATATATATATATATATATATATATATATATATATATATATATATATATATATATATATACATATATATCCTGTGGGTTAAGTTTTAACATTCATTCAAACACCACTTTTTTCTGAATGAACTGTGTTTCTGAAGAGACACTTACTGTGAGTGTGTTGTACACATCATCAGAGGACCTGGACACGGGGTCAAGAGCTGTGTACGTGTCGTCCTTAGCATTAGGATCAACGTCCTGGACAGAGGAGAGTTAGAGAACATCAGCAGTTCGAGTTCCCACTGACCAACATCAAGTATTTATATTACAGATAAAAACTACTTTGAATTTTTAACTCTCTAAATTAATAATAATGGACTATAATATTTATATCCTCCTGTAATGACAGCCTGACATATTTTTTATTTATTTATTTTTTTTTTTATCAGCACATGTTCAATAAACCAATGAATGTCTTTGATTAAACAGAATGTCAGCAAACATGTCATGATGTTTTGGTTGTTGGAAAATTTAATTAATTATAAAATCATAAAATCTTTTTGGTACATTAAATATCACTGCTTGCTAAAATACTTTTGGTCTGTAGTTCATGAAGTGTTTCTGTGTGTGGAGGTGCTGAGACTGAATCACAGACTGTGCTATAGAGCCCAAACTGCAGAGCTCAGAATCAGCACCTTAGACAGCTCTCTTACTCCACACCTGTGCTTCTCTACAGATACGTCTTAGATCAGTACTGCCATCTACAGGTGGAGATCTGTAATGACTCCAGCTGCTGGAGCTCCTCTACACTGCAGAGTGTAGTGTTTACTCTGTAATAACCCACTAAATCAACTCAACAGGTAAGAAACAACCTTCAGGAGTTTAATCAGATGAGTTACAGCAGCACAAACACTAAACTGTGCAGTTCAGCTTCACTCCAATAGCTTTAACAGCTCACCTGGTGGTCATCTTCCTCCATCGTCCTCTTCTTCTTCTTCTTTTTGTTCCTGCTTTCAGAAAGAAGTTAATGTTGAAAAAGTCAGAGACCCCCCCCAGACACACACACCACCATTTTCCAGTTAGAACAACATTTAAGTAAAAGTTACCTATTTTTCAGAAAGTATTTCTGAGGAGATACATAAAGATGTAAAGAAGTGATGCAAATGTATAAAAATTACACACATGCAAATATTCATAATTACCACATCAAGAAAACAACCACAGTAAACGCTGCAACTCCAACTACCACATACAGAATCATGGAGTGTTCTGCTGAGAGACACATGGACAGAAAACCAGGGCAGTGTTTATATATTCTATCAAACAGCAGCAAAAGGTCAGCAAACATCTATTATTATTATTATTATTATTATTAGTAGTAGTAGTAGTAGTAGTATTTTCTTTAGGTACCTTTAATAATGACAGGCGCTGTAGCTGATTTTTTAGATCCATATGTATTCTCAGCCAAACAGTAGTACCATCCACTGCTTTTGGAGTCAAAGATGAAGCTGTAACTGTGTCCAGATCCTACAGGTGAGCTTCCACCTTCTTTAAACCAGGTGTAGTTCTGCACAGGTGGGTTTGCATCACTGCTGCAGGTCAGAGTCACTGAACTGCCCTCCAGTGTTTCACCAGAGAAAGTGATGGACACTGAGATGCTTTTTGGAGGACCTAAAATCAGAATATCAGTACTCAGTGATCTAATCAGGACATTAGATATTTAGTAATGGGGACTACTACAAAATATACAGTGAATATCTAGACGAAATAAATACAGACTCACACAAAACATTCAGAGTTAGAGCTTCAGAGAGTTTCTCTCCATGTTCATTACTGGATCTGCACTTGTATTCTCCACTGTCCACAGAGCTGATCTTGTTCACTGTGTAAGTCTCTCCTTTTGCTACTAATGATGTTCCTCTAAACCAGTTATATTCCACAGGTGGGTTTGCGTCACTGCTGCAGGTCAGAGTCACTGAACTGCCCTCCACTATTCCACCAGAGGGACTGATGGACACTGAGATGTTCTTTGGAGGGATCTAAAAATCCGAGAAGATCAGCAGTGACTGATCTAATCATCACAGAACATTACAGCCCAAAAAACATTGCAACAAAAACAGAATTTACTCACACAAAACATTCAGAGTTAGAGCTTCAGAGAGTTTCTCTCCATGTTCATTACTGGATCTGCACTTGTATTCTCCACTGTCCACAGAGCTGATCTTGTTCATTGTGTAAGTCTCTCCTTTTGCTACTAATGATGGTCCTTTAAACCAGGTGTAGTTCTGCACAGGTGGGTTTGCATCACTGCTGCAGGTCAGAGTCACTGAACTGCCCTCCACTATTTCACCAGAGGGACTGATGGACACTGAGATGCTCTTTGGAGGATCTAGACATCAGAAACCAACAGCAGTGAGTGATCTAATCATCACAGGATATTAAAGATCTAGAAAAGAGAACCGCTATAAAACAGACTCACACAAAACATTCAGAGTTAGAGCTTCAGAGTATTTCTTTATAAATCCATTACTGCATTTGCACTTGTATTCTCCACTGTCCACAGAGCTGATCTTGTTCACTGTGTAAGTCTCTCCTTTTGCTACTAATGATGTTCCTTTAAACCAGTTATATTCCACAGGTGGGTTTGCATCACTGCTGCAGGTCAGAGTCACTGAACTGCCCTCCACTATTTCACCAGAGGGACTGATGGTCACTGAGACGCTCTTTGGTCCATCTAGAGGTAGAATGACACACATTATGAACATGCTTTCGTGTTTGAAGTGATATTCAGTATAACTGTAGTATAATATCTCATTTGTATTTGCATATTTCCATCATTTACTTCAGTAGATGAAGATCACTGTTGCAGATTTAGGATTAATTTCCAAACATTACTCAGAGTTTCTGTTATCCAAAAGACTTATTGATTCTTTGAAGATGAAATTCCTCCTGACTGAATACTGAATATTTCGATTTCACAAGAAACTACATAGAATTATGTTTATTTTACTGCATGTGAATCAGGCATTAACATTAGATAACTGGCTGTAGTCAGTAGTAAGTAGAGTGAAGATGACTGTCTACAGTGTGGAATTATGGTCTGTATTGCTGGTTAACAAGTTTTTTCCTGGTCGTTTGAAGGCTATTTAACTTTAGATTTTTATGTGAAGTAAAGAAAAGAGGAGAGGCTAACGCTAACATTAGCTAACTGATGAGCCATTTTAAAAAAACAAATTACAATGCTTCTTAAATTACAGATTCCCTGAAAGGACATGGGTATAAAAACATTACATGGGTTCTCCTGCCTGAGAAATAACATGAAATGACATTTCTTAAATGAATAATCTTGAGATAATTATTGTGATACATGTAGAGAAAACCTATGCGCATTCCCTGCTCTGCCCTGTAGATGGCACTAATGCACCATTCAGGCAGCATTTCCTTTTCTTTTCTCTCCCTAAAAGACCTGCTGTCCATTTTTTCAGGGGCCTGGACGTTGTTAATCAGAGAACTGGAAACTGAGCAATATAAAGCACTTTATTTTGTACAAATACAAATACATTGTTTCAGAGCTCACCAACAAGAAAAAATGGGGTAGAATTTTTTATTAACTCAGGAACAGTTTTGAACACTAAAGAGCAAAGCAGATTATCGTAACTTAACATAAACTTACTACGTACACAAATATAAATCATTGAACAGAATAATAATTTTGTGATTTACATGTGTTACAGTTAGTAGTGGGTGGTATTTAAAATTAATATCATGGTATAATTAAGATCACTGATGGTTTCACTATATCACTGTACAGTGTAACATGTTTTCAAACAAAATCATTTTGGATGCTTAAGTAAACTTTTTCATCTTCTAGAACTGCGACACGAGACCGTGAGCGTTTATATCCTGGTTTCGGTCTCGGTTTCAGAATCTTTACACGCCTATTAATACCTCAACCTGTAGTTCAAACAATATACAAATGATTGATCTCTCATTAATGCTTCAGATCTTGTAAATAATACATAATAAAATTGATGAAAAATCAAAATGAAAGCCAGTGGTAGTAAAGGCTTAGCTCCCTCCCTAAATCTCTGGTGATGCCCCTATCCTCTCATATAGCTGAAACAATGCACACTGCTTTTTAAATGAAACAATCTGTCTTTAGGGTCAAATTGTAGCAAAATAGACAAATGAGATTCGTCACAATTGACTACTTTAATCATTTGTCAGCCCTAATTATTACACTACATACATAAACTTTACAGTGTAGTTTACAGTTTATGAGGGGCTTTTTGTGTTAATTATGAAGTCCTGCAGAACCAACTCATGTTTTATTGCAGTCACCCATCATTAACCTCAGCATATGAAGATTAAAACAGGAGACTGAAGATGTTTACATCATGGTACAGTAAAGCTTTGTCTAATTACTAAAGCCTTCATGGTCTCAGACGTGTCAGAGCAGTGAAAATAAAAAAAAAAAAACATGTAGGATCTCCAGAACGGGGATCAGGAACCCAAGTTTTGCAGTGTGTGTATGAATATATCAGGAAAACCTGAGAAAATCCCCAGTTCACTACAAGTACATTACTTAAAAAACAAACTAGCTGAAGCAGAATCAGATTTGGGTTCAATTTGATCACAAACAGTTCAGCATGAACCCTCAGCTTTGTTTGTTTTCTGAGACTGAATGAATGAATCTGTACTTACATCTGACATTCAGAGTGACCTCAGGAGAGTTCTGACCCAGTACAGCACAGCGATACCTGCCTGCATCCTCCCTGCTGACCGGCTGCAGGTGGAGTTGGTCAGCACTGGAGGATAAACGGTGTCCATTTCTGTACCAGGTGAATGTTGGACTGTCAGACAGACTGAAGCTGGTTTTACATGTGAGAGTGACTTTATCTCCCTCTGTCACTCTCTCAGGAACCTCCACCTGGAGATCTGAGAACCAGAGAAAACAGACTCACACTGTGGAGACTCACACTAGCTGAGTAATGATGATAGGTTTTCAAATATCCTTTAATAAACTTTTAGTTTTCATGCAGCTTAAACTGGATCTCAGTACTCGATCACTTAATGCTTCACTGCTGTCTTTCTGTGTTTTAACAGTTCAATAAAACCAGTGAGCATTTTACTCAAATCCATCTGTTCTCTGTGATTCAGTTTAGACTGATTCCACTCAGAGTGTATAAACCTCTCAGAATCATCTCTGAGTTGTAGAGCTGATCCAGAATCAGATTCAGTTCCAGTTAATGATTAAATCTTTTTATATATTTATGAACAAACAAATGAATCTGTACTTACATCTGATATTCAGAGTGACCTCAGGAGAGTTCTGATACAGTACAGCACAGCGATACCTGCCTGCATCCTCCCTGCTGACCGGCTGCAGGTGGAGTTGGTCAGTACTGGAGGATAAACCATGTCCATTTCTGTACCAGGTGAATGTTGGTGTGACTGTCAGTCTGCAGGTGGTTTTACATGTGAGAGTGATGTTATCTCCCTCTATCACTCTCTCAGGAACCTCCACCTGGAGATCTGAGAACCAGAGAAAACAGACTCACACTGTGGAGACTCACACTAGCTGAGTGAGTGTATCACTGATGTCCTGAATATTTCTACACAAAAGTGGCATTAAAATTTGCACCTCTGATTAAGCCATTGCATTTGGTGTATTTATTTATGTATTTTAAAAAATAATTTCTACAAGTAACTAATTGTTTGTGTATATCGTAATTGAATCACCATCAGAGTAAATTACAGTAGATGTTTCTCCTGCACAGCAGCATAACATTGTGGAAGATTAAATGTAGCACAAGCTCCTCTGAACTATATGATAGCTGCTACTACAGTCAGTGAACTACCGCTAATACAGCGCTGTTAAACACCTCAGTGTGCTGATCAACTCTGACTAATGTACTACAGTTAATGATCTACTGCTAATACAGCGCTGTTAAACACCTCAGTGTGCTGACCAACTCTGACCAATGTACTACAGTTAATGAACTACTGCTAATACAGCGCTGTTAAACACCTCAGTGTGCTGACCGACTCTGACCAATGTACTACAGTTAATGAACTACTGCTAATACAGCGCTGTTAAACACCTCAGTGTGCTGATCGACTCTGACTAATGTACTACAGTTAATGATCTACTGCTAATACAGCGCTGTTAAACACCTCAGTGTGCTGACCGACTCTGACCAATGTACTACAGTTAATGAACTACTGCTAATACAGCGCTGTTAAACACCTCAGTGTGCTGACCGACTCTGACCAATGTACTACAGTTAATGAACTACTGCTAATACAGCGCTGTTAAACACCTCAGTGTGCTGACCAACTCTGACCAATGTACTACAGTTAATGATCTACTGCTAATACAGCGCTGTTAAACACCTCAGTGTGCTGACCAACTCTGACTAATGAACTACAGTTAATGATCTACTGCTAATACAGCGCTGTTAAACACCTCAGTGTGCTGACCAACTCTGACCAATGTACTACAGTTAATGATCTACTGCTAATACAGCGCTGTTAAACACCTCAGTGTGCTGATCAACTCTGACTAATGTACTACAGTTAACACCTCAGTTTACTTCTCTATTACACAGATTAGACTCATCAATGCTCTGCAGAAAATCATTTAACTCTGAGAATCTGATGAAGCTGAGAATGAATGTAAAACACTTCTGGACTGAATTCTGGTTCTCCAGTTCTAAGCAGTGTGTTTCTCATGTTTTCTATGAAGGATTGATGTGATTCTATTACAGTACTGCTTTGTGATCCTGAACACCAGTGAATGAGGTAGAGTGTCTTATTTCTGCTGATGGATCTTACCTGTGACTGAAAGATCAACTCCACCTGCACCTTGATACTTTCCTCCAGGTTGGTCTGTTATAAATGTGAAGTAGTATTTATTTTGATCCTTTTCTCTCACAGTCTTAAATCTGAGAGTGCAGTCACTGTGTTCATCTCCGAGGTACAGAACTCTGCCTCTGTACTCAGGATCATCTGACAGATCAGGAGGTTCTGAACCAGATGTAACCAGCTCTTTAGTCCAGAAAGCTTTTTGGACTGAGTGACCACTTGGATATGTGTAAGTACACTCCATGGTCACTGCAGACCCCTTTAGAGCACAGAAAGATTTCTGATTGTAATTCACAGCCCACCCATCCTGAGCAACAACTCCTGCAACACAAAATACAGAAATGTGTAAATTATTACTGTTTGGGTCTCAGTCAGTAAAAATGCTGCATAAAGTCTCCACTTCAGCTCATTTCTAAGACTGTTCATTTCAGCTGGGTTTGAATGACCAGCTGTAATAATCTGAGCTCATTTGGAGATAAAAGCACAAAGTGAGAAGCTCCACAGGTCTTACAGTAGTTTAGTACAACTGACCACAATATCATATATATAAATAAACTCATAACTGTACAGAGTTCAGTGAGAAGTAACAGCTCTGACTCACCAGAGATGAAGAGCAGAAACAGCAGAGAAACAGTCAGAGACATTCTGAGTGAGATCAGCAGTTCAGCCTGTATGATCACAATATTTAACAAGATATTGTTAATTTACTGAGTTATTCATGCAAATTCAAGGGTCATCAATATGTCTGTATCTGCCAAAGCACTTTCATAGTGCAGATAAAGCTCAGTCAGCAGAAAGAAAGCAGGCAGAGTTCATACATGAACTTAGTTCACTGACCATTAGAGGCTTTTAATGTAGTGATCCTCATGTTTTACAGGCTTCATATTGGTGATATTATATACACACTTAATTATTAAAGTGTCTTATTAAATATGTTGTAGCAGAATCACTAAAAGGCACCAATAGTCAAACTACACTTGTTAACCTTAACACAACACAGATATTAGTATCAGTTCACTTCTCTGTCCATTAACTATGAATTAATGACTCTTTACTGATTCCAAAAGCACTAAGAGTGTTTCCTACCTTCATTAAGCGACGGTCATCTCCTGAACTGGAAGAACGAATGCAGAGAAAAGGAGGAGCTTTTACAGTTTAAACTGATAAACTGAATGTGGTTAAAATGTTGCTGACTTTCTCAAATTCACTGACAATTATTCTTCCTGTTTTCAGTGAATCAGTTATTCAGTCTTCAAGTACAGAAAACACACTTCTTCACATTAAAAACTGAACTAAAATAGTAAAAACTAGAAAAACTCCTCTATAACTGAGGAACATTAATGAGTGAGCTGTGAGATGATGAACATTTTTCCATCTAATCAGTCACTTTTCACTTTCTTCCTTGTTGTATGTAGACAGTGTGAGTGACTTCAACTGACCCGCAGCTTCATTTCCTCACACTAGAACTTCCTTAATATCTGAACACTCAGAGAACATTTAGCAATCTCGGTGGTGACCCCACCTAGAAGCCTGTGTGGTGATGATGTCAGAGTTGGTTAATCATCTAATGTTGTTTAATAGAGGGATATAGCCATCTAGAGGAATGTAGCTGTCATTACATTCACACTGTACTATAAGGTCCATCACTGACTGACTGATATCTGGAGCTCTGTATCAGCTCACCTGACACTTCATCCATCTTTCTCTTCTGCTCACTCATATTTCAGATATTAATTAACAATACTGCCTATTAGAGAAATAATAGATATTGTTGCTTTTTCAGTATATGTTTATATTCCGCACAACCGACGCAGCATACAAAGAGGGAATTCAGACTCTTTACTCATCATAATGGGAGACTTTCAAAGTGCAAATCTAACTAAAGAAATGCTTGAGTACACTTGTGCCACAAGAGAAGGGAACATCACGCGCTGCTCTCGGTCATTCCAACCACAGCCTTGTTCACATACAGGCAGAAAATCAAAACAAACAAGCCTGTAGTCACTACAGTGAAGAGGTGGATGAGTGGAGACACTGAAAACCTACAGGGCTGCTTTGAATTTACAAACTGGGCTGCTTTTGAAAAAGCTGCAGATAGACTACATTAATATAGAGACACTGTGATGTCACACATCAGTTTCTGTGAGGAGAGCTGCATTTAACTACAGCACAGGTGAAATACAGGATCAAAAAACTCAGCTGAACTCAAACAGCTTTAGAGGTAAAAGGAGGCCGCATTCAGGAGTGGGGACAGAGTTCTCTACAAAGAGGCCAAAAACAAGCAGAAGGGGATTAAAGCAGCAAAGAAGAAACACTGAGAAAAGCTGAAAATCCACATTGCTGCTAACGACCCAACTTCAGTTTGGAAAGGCCTTGAAGAGACCAACTAGAAGGAGAGAGATACTCCCCTTCTCCTACATGAAAACCTACTCACCACTGAGGCAGTTCTACTGCAGGTTTGAACACACAAAAGATGTCTTCCAAAAGGTTCTACCTTTAACTTATCAATCCACTGAATATTATCCCAAGTCTTGGGGGTCATCAAGATGTTTTTTTTTGGCAAAGGCGAGGTGAGCCTTTGTGTTCTTTTTGGTCAGCAGTGGTTTGCGCCTCGCAGCTCTCCTATGGATGCCATTTTTGCCCAGTGTCTTTATTATTGTGGAATTGTGGACACTTTCTGTGAGGCCTGCAGCTCTGTAGATGTTCATCTAGGTTCTTTTGTGAGGTCCTGGATGAGTTGTTGATGTGCTCTTGGTGAAATTTTGGTAGGCAAGCCACTCTTGGGAAGGCTTGCCACTGTTCCAACCTTTCTCCTTTTGTGTTTAATGGCTCGCACTGTGGTTTGCTGGAGTCCTAGAGCCTTAGGTAACCCTTTCCAGATGGTAGATTTCAATGACTTTGTTTCGCATCTGTATTTGAATCTCTTTCTAACGTGGCATCATGTGCTGCTTTTTGAGACCATCTAGCTGCTTCACATTGCCAAGCAGTTTCTATTAAGTGATGTTTAGATTCATCAGGTCTGACAGTAATCATGCCTGAGTGTATCTAGTGAAATTAGACCCAATAGTCAATAGAATTTGGTTAACTGGTTGATGTAGTAGCTAAGGAGGTCAGAGTGAGTTTGTCATCTGTTGGTTTGAGAATGAGCTGCAGGCACTTGCAGTATTTTTAACTAGTTTAAACTGTTTACAGATCCATAATAACAAATATTTAATTATGGAACACATCACTCAGCTACAGTTAGAGGTCTCTCTACCTCTCTCTCTCTCTCTATGTCTCCCCCCCCCTCTCTCTCTCTCTCTCTCTCTCTCTCTCTCTCTCCCTCTCTCTCTCTTCTCTCTCTCTCTCTTCTCAGACTTCATTGGTTGGATGTGTTAAGTCTGAATTGTTTCCATAGTGACACACACACAGGAACTAACACAGACACACCCCGGTGAAGAGCTTGAGGCTGAAACAGTGCAAAAACAATAATAAGAATAATATGTAACGTAGTTTTGCTACATGAAGGAACATGGAAACATCTGATGCAACTTGACTGACCTCCACTATTTCACTAGAGGGACTGGTGGACACTGAGATGCTCTTTGGACCATCTAGAGGTAGAATGACACATTACACTTTGTGGAGCTGTTCTGTTGTTTGAAAAAAAAACAAAAAACAAAAAAAACAAACTATAAATCATAAACCAACCACTTTATATGAAGATTACTGTTTATGCAAGTTTAGGGTTCATTTCATAAGATGACTCAGTATTACTGGAATTCCACAGTGTTCACTGTGGACGAATAGAAAGATACTGCAGGTGGAGTTGGTCAGTACTGGAGAATAAATGATGTCCATTTCTGTAACAGGTGAATGTTGGTCTGACTGTCAGACTGCAGGTGGTTTTATGCATGAGACTGAACTGCTTCATATTGAAGAATATTAATGAGCCAGTAGTGAGATGATGAACATTATTCCTTTTGAATGAAAGACTTTTACCTCCTTGCATGTTTTCTGTAGACAGTGTTCGTGGCTTCAACTGACCAGCAGCTCCATTTTTTCACACTACAACTTCCTTTTTCTCTGAGCACTCAGACCACAACTCATTAGCATGATCTGATAACTCTGCTCAGTGCCAAAGCTAAAAACACACTAAAGTATGCACAGTATAGAGGTTAACTGATGGTCACTGAAAGCTCCATCTTCCTCCACTCTGTTCATGATCAGTGACTGAGGAAGATGAAGATGAAGTGGACTTTTCCTTCCAGAGTCCAGCATTAATGTTGATAATGAACTCTTTCACTTGTGAAGGAATTTTAGTCGGTCACTCTTCACTGATTGGTCAGCTCGCTCGTGCGATTTGCTCTTCTTAGAGCAAATGTAAAAAGTGCTGCTCATCTCCTCTCAGAGCTGCTTCAGGATCAGATTCCTCCCTGTTTTATATCTCAGTCTCAGAATCAGATTCTAGCACAGCAGTGCTGCTCTGGCAGGCCTTGTGAAGATCAGAGCAGCACTGCACAAACACACTCATTAGCTGTAGTGATGAATGGAGCTGAGCTTTAGCTTTAGCAGATGGAAATATGGAGCTGATTCACAGTGGACTGGACACAATAAGACTCTGACCAACATTTAAAAGTAGAAACACTTCACCACACTACATCATCAGCACTTCGTTCAGAGCTGATGATGTCATTTCCAGTGTGTCTGGAGTACAGAAATAGTCTTATTCAAACTAAAATAAAGAAGAATAAGGTCATTATAGTTCAGCACTGACAGTAGATTGTGTATTAACACCTCAGTGGGTGAAATAAACAAACATTTAATGTTCAAGCAGGAATCAGAAAGACACGGTTCAAAATGGTATTTCTAATGATTAGCTGGTAAAAAAATAAGGTTAACTTTGTTACACTGAGATATTTCACCCTCTGCCAATAACCGATGATGACTCTCTCTCTCTCTCTCTCTCTCTCTCTCTCTCTCTCTCTCTGGTGTAGTTGTTTCTGATTGGCCTCTGTGGTGATGATGTCAGAGGTGGTTCATCGTTCACTTTAAAGTTTTTATCTGTTGGTCTGTACTCCCATCTAGAGGAATGTAGCTGTAATTACATGCACACTGTACTACAAGTCCCATCACTGACTGACTGATATCTGGAGCTCTGTATCAGCTCACCTGACACTTCATCCATCTTTCTCTTCTGCTCACTTATGTTTCAGTTATTTATTAACCACATGGCTGCCGTCTCAATAATTAATGTTTTACATATTTCAATATGTTACCTTTACGGGCTTGAGTAAGGTGTACGTGGAGAAGTGAGAAAAGTAACATAAATATTTAGATCAGTTTAAATTAGCTATCAGGGGAAATTGCACTTCTGTAATCAATCTAAACATGCAAGTTAACAAGATCCAATTTTAATTTTGATTGTTGGCGTGATTACATGACACACATTATATGACTCCTCAAATTCTCTACAGACACTACGTTTCCCATAATGCCCTGGCATCTTTACTTTAAACACTTTCAGTCTGGATAGCTAGACTCATGGCCATACAAGCTCATGTTATCATACTAGCATGAACTGATTATGCAAATACAACATCACATTGGGATGTAGTTCATAGTCTCAAATGATTTTTTTTTTTTCACATATATGGTAAAAGAAAGTATTAGTAGAAAATTTGGGAAACAATAACACGTGTCTGAAGCAAATGAGACCTTCTCAGTATCCACATTAGTACTTTGGCATAAGAAAGAGAGCTTTTAATTGTGCTTATTGGTGAACTTATATTAAGTCAAAAAGATGTAGCTTTTGTTTTTATGAAGACTGTTTTGCTCAATGTATATTCAAGTTCATTACTGCCAATGTTCATCTCACAGCCAACTATGAAGGAATAGTCAGTCAATGTCATTGTGTCCAACATTGGGAGCTGCTGACTTTCACAGTTTAATGATAAATAATTGAGAAGCCAATCAGACATTGTTATAGGCTTAATATGGCAAGAATGGTGGGATACTATTAACAGGAGCACATAAACCTTGATGTTTTTCAATGAAAGAGACTAAACTAATCCTAATATGTTGGATTTTTGCACCAACTATAACCAAAACAAAGGAATACATTATTGTACATATACATAACGATTCTGCAGATATATT